GAGCAGCAGATCAGCATATTATACTGATTTCTGAAGATCATGTGACACTGAAGACTGGAGTAATGATGCTGAAAATACAGCTGCACATCACAGAAATACATTACAGTTTAACACATATTCACATAGAAAACATATTTTTAAATCATAATAATATTTCAAAATTTTTACAGTATTTTTGATCAAATAAATGCAGCCTTGGTGAGCAGAAGAGACTTCAAAAATCTTATTGTATACAGGAAAGTATATTGTTCTTGCTGTATGTGTTTGAAAGCAGCATAAAGCTGTTTAACAGTCCGTCCAAACACATCAAACACTGAGAAGTGAACTGAAGGGTCTCCCTCACTAACGAGCCGCTGTTACGTAACGACTAACGGTTTGATGGGTGTTTCCCTCCGGCGGCCCCTGCGTTTCTCGGTTTTACTCGTATACATACTGATTAAACTCAAGACGTGACTGATGCGACGTTTCACACACACCAGAGTAATTACAGTGTCACAGGTAATGAGGTTTTCACGTTTAAATATTTCATCAGCCGCGGTCGTTGAGTTTATCACGGCGTTTGTGAGCGAGGCCTTCCACGTGAGCTGTATGAGAAATGAAGCTCCGCTAGAAAATAACTCTAGTGAAAAACGAACGTGAGAGAACAAAAACACTCAACTGACAGACTGAAGACTTTAGGCCAAAATCGACATTTTTCTATATTAATTTGTGCATTTTTCAAATGTTTATTAAAAGTGCAAAAATTCATTAACAAAAATCTGAAAAGAAGTCAATATTTAACTTTTTCTGGCAGCATTTTGTGCGTGTGGTTCTAATTTCAATTTTGGTTTTCAGCACAGCATTAAAAAACACAATAACCGTTCTTTTTTCATTTTTTTTCCCGTCATGGTTAAAATGGACCATAAATGTAAAAAAAGGAGGGGGGGGGGGTTTGGGTTTAAAAAGAAAAAAGCAATAGGAAAAAAAAATTTATGTAAAAATTGTAAAAAAGACACAAAAAAAAACAAAAACAGATTTTCCAAAAAAAAACTAAAAAAATGAAAAGGGATAACCATCAGTTCTGCTGGCTGCATGTCATGTTCACGTGTCACAGCTGTGTCTGTAACTGCTGCTTACACATATTTACTACAGATTTTAGTGCAGGAAACATTGACTGAATACTCACTTCTGCTCTCCTGACATCTACTAAATCACACACAACACTGCCTTCATCCATTCACACATCAACGTGTGTGTGTGTGTGTGTGAGTGTGTAAATGTGTGTGTGTGTGTGTGTGAGTGAGAGTGTGTGTGTGTGAGTGTGTGTGTGTGTGTGTGTGTGTGTGTGAGTGTGTGTGAGAGTGTGTGAGTGTGTGTGTGTGTGTGTGTGTGTGTGAGTGTGTGTGTGAGAGAGAGTGTGTAAATGTGTGTGTGTGTGTGTGAGTGAGTGTGTAAGTGTGTGTGAGAGAGAGTGTGTGTGTGTGTGTGTGTGTGTCCTGCCATGGCAACAGGTCAGTGTGACTGCCACAAACAATAAGCGGACTGAACCAGATTTGCGTAACGCATTCATTCAGAATCATTAATATCTCCATCCTTCAGTTTGGACCTTCCTCATTTCATCCAGTCGCAAACACCAACATCATATACATATACAGTATATATGAAATGAAAATATATATATTCATACATTAATACTCATAAATAATGATTCATGAATAATCACAAGTAAACCATATACAGCAAAAAAATAAATAAAAAAAAGATTATATTACCAAGCATTTTTGTTCATTTAGAATTCATCTTAAATCCAGATTTTCTTAAATCATGACTGACGTGAGATGCAAAATAAGACATTTAGTCTCTTTTTCTCTGAAAAATTAAGCAAAATTAAGTGAGTATTCGCTTAAAACAAGAAAATATCTGTCTATGGGGAAAGGCCATGTCTATGTCCCCTTCTCTGCAATTAATAAGACATGCTTTTTGATTACTAACATTTAATTTAACCATGAAATAGAATCCATAAAACTTGAAAAAAGGGAAGAGATAAAACACTTTTAGGGCACTAAAAATGTTCAAAATGAGCAGCTCAAGTTTATTTTTGATCATTTCAGTTTGACCTGAACAATTTCAGCAGCACATTTTCATTCAATTTACAATGAAATGACCCTTTCTGATGCAAGAAAGAGAAGACAAAAGAAGAGAAGAGAAGAGAACAGTCTGCATTGATGTTATTCATTAAAGTCCCGAGCATCCGCTCATTCATTCATCTCTCATCCATTAAAATCCCTCCGTTCTTCCCTCAATCCCTCCTTCAGTGTCTCTCAAGGTAAATAAACCCAAACGGCCTTGTCGGCATGGCAACATGACAGAAACCTTGAGTCACACAAGCAGGGCGAGAGAAAGAGAGAGAGCTGCTGAACGCATGAGAAACATGCAAAAATAAAAACTAAATAAATCTCAAAAATATAATGTATACACATAACAAAAATAATATATGTAAATGTTTAATATGTACATTTTCCATTGTATTTACAATATATTGTTCATTCAGCTACTAAATGCAATAGAAAACTGCCAACTGTGAAACACACACACACACACACACAGTATTTTTAATGTTGCATTTGTTTATTCAACTGCTGAATGCATTAGAAACTGCCAAATGTGAAATATGCAATAAATAAATCTAAATCTAAATATATATACATAAAAAAGGATACATGCATCTTTTTTATGTTGCATTTATGTTGTTCATTCACCTGCTGAATGCATTAGAAATGGACAAATGTAAAACATGCAAAAAAAAATAAAGTTAAATAAAAAAACAACAAAAAGAATATCTCTCTATATATATTAATGTTGCATTTATGTTGTCCATTTCATACCAAGATTCATTCATTTATTGCTACTTCATTTAAGTCATTTAATGTTCTTAAACATGCAAAAAAAAAACATTAATATTTAGGGCAATCTGTTCGACTAAAGCAAAAGATTCACGACAGCAAGACTGATTTCAGCAGGAATATAACAGACAAAATTAAACAACTACTATCACAAAATAATTAAATATATGATGACATTTTGCTATCAATAAATACTGTTTGTTGCTCTCTATGCATTGCATTAAGAGCAACATTGTGTCAAAGTTATTTGTACTTCGACTAAAGCAAAAGATTCACGACAGCAAGACTGATTTCAGCAGGAATATAACAGACAAAATTAAACAACTACCATCACAAAATAATTAAATATATGATGACATTTTGCTATCAATAAATACTGTTTGTTGCTCTCTATGCATTGCATTAAGAGCAACATTGTGTCAAAGTTATTTGTATGCCGCAAATTAGAAAGAATGAAAGGTGTGAAAAGAGTCTTTATAAATGAGACTCACACTGACTCTATGCATGCAACAGGAAGAACTGAGGCTGTTTCCTCAGGTAACGTTTCTCCAGAATATAAACCCCATCGCAGCATCCTCACAATCTCACTGGAGATCTTAATAAAGCACTGATCAGGCGCATTGTTGAGCGAGCCAGAAAACAATTCCAAAATATGAATATTCAAAGTAGTCGCACTGTCAACGTGGTACTGTTTAATATTAATTAAATGTTTAACATCGTTAAATTTCTTAAAGGCAGTTAGCGCACATTCATTCAGCCATTTTAAACACAGGAATAAGAGCACCAACGCACACAAGCAATGTCATCTTTCATCTTACGAATAATAGCCATGGTCTTACAGCATATAAAACTAGGGATGCATCAATCCGATATTCAGTATCGGTATCGGCTCCAAGAGATGAAAAGAAAAAAATCTGGACTTTTTGTTTCCAATATTTGTGTGTAGAATGTATTTCCACTGCATGAATTAAGTCACGGCCTGAACATAAAGAGCATTATTTGTGTGCTGTATAGAGCTGATGCTCATGTGTTCCAAATGAGTCAATTATGACTAATAATTACATTAATATTGAACATTTAAATATTTTTGGCTTTAATATTTTAATTTATATTAACTTAAGTCGCCATTTAACGATTTCACATAAATAAATAAACAAGCACTTACTTCTTAAATTTACATTTACTTTAATATACACTTATATAATATATACTTAAATGTTTATTTATTCATTATTATTTTATTTTTTTAAATAATCATTCACATAAATAAATATTTACTTTAATATACACTTAAATCTTTATTTATTTAATCAATTGTTTACTTCAATATTTACTTAAATATTCATTCACATAAATGACTAAATATTTACTTATAATATATACTGAAATATTTATTTACATTTTAAATTCTTTATTTAAATATTTACTTAAATATTTATTCACGTAACTATATATTTACTTTAATACATATTTAAATATGTATTTACTTTTAAACTGTTTACTTAATTTGTTTATTTACTTAAATGTTTATAGAAATTGTTTAACTTAAATTGAACATTTAAGTCAATAAATAATTGAAATAAACATTCACATAAATAAATAAAAACTAAATATTTATATTAATATTTACTTAAGTATGCAGTCAAATGAATGAATAATTTACTTTAAGTTGTACATAAATATTTAAATAAATATTTACTTAAATATGTATTCATATAAATAAATAAACCGTGATCTCCAGTGTGTTTCCCGTGAGCCGGACGTGGATCAGTTTCCGCTCAGTCACTCAGAAAGCCCCACTGCATCAGGACTGACTGATGTAACGGCTGCTTCGGCTTAGTGTTTGTGGTTAATATGTAAGCTCACATGTCTCGCATCTGTCTTTATGGATGTGTAAAGCTATCACCTTCATCATACGGTAACGGCAGGAACGTCAGCACTCCGTCAGTCCACCAGTGTGTGTAACTGCAGAGAAAAACGCAATCACATCAGCATCAAACAGGACTACAGGATTATATATATATATATATATATATGTATATACACACGTTTACCTATATACACACACACATATATATACAGTGGGTATATATATATATATATACACACACACACACACACACACACAAAATGTTATATGTTAGTTAAATTATGCATCAAATATAGTATATATATATATATTTTAATTAAACCCAGAACAAATTAATTTTATTACAACAAATAAAGATTACAGTCAACCAGCGAATAACACATGTGCATAATAATGTGAATATGTTTCAGTTGACATGTAATATTATATATTAAATGTATAATATTATATAATACATTATATAATCTATATACAATATAATATTATATATTTATTATTTTATATTACTATTTATTAAAGGAACAAAACTTTTCAAAATACACTTTTTTTCAGATTTTGTAATAAAAACCTATATCATTTATATAACAACTATATAAAATGTATATAATAATATATAAATAATAAATATATAATATAAAAAGTTGTAATATTATATATTGTACATATATAAAATATTTGGTTTAATTAAAATACATTAAATAGTTTAATTAAACCCCGCATAAATAAATTTTATATGCATGCAAAATACATGCACACATGTGCATAAAATTTGAGGGGAAAATGTGTTTAATTTACATTCATATAAAAGTCAATTCAAAAATCCTGATTGAAAAATATAATAATTCATAAAGACTCAAGACGTGTTTGTGAGATTCACCCACATGAACTGTCCGGCGATTGGTGAACTGAACAGAAATGCATGCAAACACGAATGTCCTATTTGTCCTGGAACATCATTTCAGAGACTATTTGATGCTACAATTCCTCAAAACAGGTCAGATTCCTCTCATTTCGTTTTGTGTCTGATAATAGTTCTTTGTCACAACAACCCTGTGTTCATTATGCAAGCGGCATCACAAAGCTGGAGGAAACTAAAGTGGGTCATGGGCTGCACAAACGCTTATTTAACATCATAGCAATAAAAGAATAAACCACAAACCACAGATGGACAGAAACTGGAAGCTGTAGATGCTAGAAATGAAGCGCGGCGGAAAACCCTTTTGATTTGTTTATACAGGTTAAAGGCGATGAAACACCAACCAGTAGCTGTTCATAAAGCTGTATACTGTACTTAGTTGTGCTATTACTCTTCTAGACGATCTTACTTACATTTTTCACCATGCATTCATGTCACATCACGTTTTCTTACCCTCATAATGCATTCAGTCAATTTCGACCCAGAAGAGACGCATAAGAATTTCTATAAAACACAGTTTGACGAAACTTTGCAAATGCTTTAAAGGGGTCATATGATGCGATTTCAAGTTGTTCTTTCTCTTTGGAGTGTTACAAGCTGATTGTGCATAGATAAGATCCCTGAAGTTGCAAAGACTAAAGTCTCAAAACCAAAGAGATATTCTTTATCAAAGTTAAGACTCTGCCACGCCCCCTAAAACGGCTTGTTCTAACACGCCCCCACATATCTACCTCACTATGTGGAAATATTAGCATAATGCCGCCCAAATGTGCACGCAAAGAAAGAAGGCGTGGTTTCAGTAACCGCAGTTAGTGTTGAAGCAGCATGTCAGGGAGACGCTGTGTGTTTCTAGGCGAAAGCAAAAGCACTTTATTTGGCCTTCCGGAAGTAGATGCATTTAGGAATCTTTAAGATCACTTACAACAGAACAGCAATGCATTTTATAGACGCCCGTTTCGTGAACCTAGGAGAGGAGGTCATTCTGACTTTGCTATGACAATCTGGCGCTTCTGAATCAGCTACTGTTTGTACTGCACTAAAGCATGTCAACATATTCTGTTACACCAAATACACAAAATAATGATCTTTAAAAAAGCATCATATGACCCCTTTAAGAGTCTCAAAATACACATCTTTTTTTTTTGTTTTCAGATTTTTTGCAATAGTTTTTTTAGGAGATATAACCATTTAAAATAAGGTTTTGCATTTGGGTATTTTTTGACCCGGGTGTGTATGGAGCACCATTAGTGTCAAAAACACTTTCTGTTAAATTATCTATGAAGTTATATTAGTGTCAAAAACTTTTGTAAAATATATTTAGCATTTGTTTCCACGTCTCTCACAACTCTTGGGACTAAATTTTGTTGATAAACAATAATATGTACGTCTATTGATGAAGCAGTGTAGCATGAAAAACTGATGAATATGAATTTCTAAAAAAACTGTTTTTAGTAATGCAATGAAAATTTGCAAATGCTTCAAGAGCCTTAAAATACAGATTATTTACTTTTTTTTCAGATTATTTGCAATTGTTTTTTAGGAGATGTAACCATTTCAAATAAGGTTTTGTGTTTGGGTCTTTTTGACCCGGGTGTGTATGGAGCACCATTAGTGTCAAAAACACTTTTTGTTAAATTATCTATGAGGTTATATTAGTGTCAAAAACTTTTGTAAAATATATTTTAGCCTTTTTTCCCACATTTCTCACAACTCTTTGAACTGAATATTGTTGATGAACATTAATATGTACGTTTATTGATGAAAAAAATGATCACTTTTCTTAAAGTGAAAGTTCATGCAAGTAAAATGAATTTATTCAGTTTGAAAGCTTTTCAGATTAATATTTATGTTTTGTTAGAAATAAATATGTAGCTTTTATAAATGTGGCATGTTTTTAAGCAACCATGAGTTCAACTCTATTCATTCCATAGGGGTTAATACTGGCAATTCTCAGACTATATGTTTTTATAAATTTCATACAATGACATATTCGAATAAGACTTCTCATCAATATTTATATATATATATATATATATATATATATATATATATATATATATATGATATATATGATCCACATTTTGGATCATAATTTTTTGTGTTGTTGTTCATGTGTATTTAAAATTGTAAAAAATTACAATTTTTTTTTATTAATCAAAAAGGAGTAAATGCAGAAATAACATATGGTAATATTCAAAACCTTGACATTTTTTCAGATTCACTCATTAATGAATTATGTTGCTGATCCGATACGACATGGATTTAGTTGAAAATACACTGCTCAAAAAAATTAAAGGAACACTTTTTAATCAGAGTATAGCATCAAGTTAATTAAACTCCAGATATTGATCTGGTCAGTTAAGTAGCAGAAGGGGATTGTTAATCAGTTTCAGCTGCTTTGGTGTTAATGAAACTAACAACAGGTGCACTAGATGGGCAACAATGAGACGACCCCCATTTTGACAGGTGGAGGCCACTGACATTTTTTCCCTACTTGCTGCATTGTTTTTTCACTTTGATTTCTGGGGTGTCTTTGAATTTATCCCTCTGTACATTGATAATTTTCATTTCCATCAAACGATGCGGCATCTTTTCGTTCCTAACACATTACCCAGTCCATATCAGTATAGATATCCAGCATGATATTTTTTTAAGTGTGTTTTTAAAGTGTTCATTAAATTTTTTTGAGCAGTGCATTAAGTTTTGACTTATACATAAAATAACGATTCTTTGAAAATGCATTTTAAGGGTTAAGCAAAACATGGTAAATCCGTGTCAGGAGTTTTTTTTGCTCGTCTGTTAAAGTCTCCGAAGAAAGCTCAGCACAGGTTGATATCTGAGACACACAAACCATCAGTGTTACTTCTGAGAGCTACTCCTGTTTGCACAATTCTTAGATTAGGATGCATTTTATTCTATTTATTTTTTACATTTACATTACATTTAGTTTGCAGACAATTTATCCAAATTGAATTTTAGTACATACAAGATATACATTTGATCAGTTCATGCATTCACTGGGAATCAAGCCCATATTCTTGGCTTTACTAGTGCCATGCTTTACTTTGACCAACAAGATAAAAAAAAATTTACATTATATTTTGTTTATTCTATTGTATTTGATTTTATTATTTGATTTATTATTAGAGCAATACTTTTATTTATATTTTATTTTATTGCATTTTATTTAATTGTATGTACTATTATAGATTATACTTTTAATTATTTATTTTTTATTTTGTTTATTTTATGTGATTGCATCTTATTTTATTATTTATTTCATTTAATTGTATTTATTTATTAATTACATTTAATGTATTCATTTGGCAGACATTTTACCCAAAGCAAATTTGATTATATTCAAGGTATACATTTTACCAGTTTCCAGGAAAAAAAAAAATGACATTGCCGTTGCTTTACTTTATCAGCTACATTAATATTTGTATTTTATTGAATTATGCATTATATATTTTGTTAATTTAATTTATTTTATATAGTTTTTTCCTTTTATTTAATTTTACCCAAGTGAATTTTACAATATTCAAGGTACATATTTTATTATTTCATGACCTTACTATTGCTAGTGGCATATTTTACTTCATTAGCTACAAATAGTTTTATTTTATAAAATTATTTAAAGTTTTTTTTTTACCATTTTAATTATATATATATACATATATATATATATATATATATATATATATATATATATATATATATATATATATATATATATACATATATAACATTTACTTTATTTAACTGTATTTTATTTATTTATATTATTTAACATTATGTAATTAATTTTTTTGTAAATATTGCTTGTTAGAAAAAGTGCGTTTTTAAATTTTATTTACAGTACTTATTTTTGTCCTTCAATTTTAATTGTATACAACCAAACTACAAACACTTCAGCAACATGAACCGTTTTTGTGACGCCAGTAAAAACAAAGCACTAAACCTGAAGCTGAGTCTGAAAATCCCCTGCTCACCAAACAATGACAGAATCAGCTGCACAGCAGTGTTTGCCTCTGCTTTCAGCTGCCAGGTCTTTGTTTTTGAGAATATCCACAGTTAAAGGTGCGATAATCGCGAGTGTGTGTTTGAGCGATCGTCCTCTGCGTAATTAAGAGTTAATCGACAAGCACTGAGCACAATTACACTCGTTCCTCGTTATCCTCAAGGCCATTTCAGCATCTTTCTAATTAAA